CATGCTTAGCGGCCCCGCTTCCAGGGCAAAGCCCGAACCCCTCAGAACAGGCAGCTGCGCCTTCGGGGCCCCGAGAGTAGGGGTGCTGAGCCCCGAGACCAGGCCTGGCAGCTAGACTGGGGTCGTTAAAGGGGGCTGCCGGGCGCCTGCCACCCGCAGGAGGCGCCAGAGGGAGGAGCATGCTGAAGGGGCGACTGGACTCGCGCCTGACCACGCCCACGTGCTGTCCACTGGCACCGAGCGTTCGGCCTTCGGCTTTTATAGACGAAGCAGTGACCCTGCCCAAGAGCTGCGGGAACAGCCGGGCGGGCGTCGTGCTTCTCCTCGGCCCCAGCCTAGGCCCCAGAGCCCAGCCCGAGCAGTGCGGACGCCGCCCCGAGGTCTGGCACGGGGGAGGCCCGTCTGGCAGGGCTTGGCGGACAGGTGCAGAGAAGCTGGCCAGGACCGCCCCAAACAGGCCCTGCTAGGCCATGGCCGGCTTTGAACTGGACGCCTGGAAGACAGAAGGGGGCTAACAGGCAGCAGCCGAGAAAGGCGCTGGCAGCTGAGGCTTGCGGATCCCCCCAAGATGGAAAGCCTGCCCACAAGCTACTCTTTATTTACTTTTTAAAGATCTGTTTCATTTATTTATATGTAGAGGATCTGGGGTGGGGGCCAAAGGTGTGGGGGTTAGAAGATGCCCCAGAAACGAAATGGGGAGCAAAACATGCAGATCCACTGAGACCCACTGCTGAGGGAGCAGTGGGGGGCAGGAAGGGTCTGCTGCGCCCCGGGGTCACTCCCTGGCTGGGGTCGCACTCAGGCTGCAGGGCTGGCAGCAGCTGGACAGCGCTGAGACTCACCCCTGTGCCCCCAGGGAGGCCCAACAATGCTGCTCTTTAGGCAGAAGCTCAGCAGGCCTGGGGGCAAGGCTGGGCGTCACCCCCCATTGCTGGCCTGAAGCCGGTGTGGTGCCAACAGCTGGCAGAGGACACTGCGGCATCCGCGTGCAGTAACAGCAGGAGGAGATGACCGCCTGTGTCCCGTGCCTGCCCGCAGAGACTAGCCCAGGCAGAGGCCCTGGCGTGCAGGGCAGCTGTGCCCCTCAGGAACCCATCAAGCTCCTCTGTGGGGGCCAAAGACCCGGGTGTGCTGGAGTCTCCCCAGCTGGTCTTGGGGGACACACGCAGCCAGACCCACGCTTGTCTGTCACACACAGCTGCAGCTAGGCACCCCCAGGGGCTTGGGGAGGCAAACGGAGTGTGGGGCGTCCTGTGTGAGAGAGGACCTGGGCGGCTGGTGAGGGCAGGTGCGTGCTTCAAGGGGAGCCTCAGAACCCACGTCCGTCCCTAGTTTGACTGTTTCCGCGGCGGGTGCTGCGGCCCGGAGGCCTTGCGGAGGAGGAAGGCCGCTGGCAGGGCGGGCTGGGGAGCTTCCTGCTCGTTTGCAAAGTCAGACTGTCCGTCTTTGACCTCAGGGAGGACACGGAAGGACTGAGCACCTGGCCTCGCGCTCCCAGAGCACAGCGAGCTGGAGGCGCAGGTCTCTGCCCTGCAGCGGGGGTCAGCGGGGTCATCAGGGGCAGCAGGCCACGGGCAGGGCGTCCCCTGGAGGCCATGCACCGCTGACTGCCCCTTTCCCTTCCAGAGCCGTCTGCAGCTCCTGCAGCGTGAAGGTGAGGCTGCCTAGGTCTGTGCGGGGCTGTCCAGAGGGCAGGGCGGGTGAAGGGCTCCTGCCCCCACAGCCCCTGCAGAGGACAGCAGCCTGACCAGTCTGCCTGCTGTCTCTCTTCTGGGCAGAGCCCTTCCTGCACCTTGAGACCAGTGTTTAGGCCCCGCCCACCCTGTCCCCACCATGTTCGTGGGTGGGCTGGTACCTGGCTCCTCACCTGGCTGTGCCCCTGCCCCCAGGACAGCCCTAAGGTGTTGGGGCCAGTGTCGGCTGACCTGCAGCCCATGGCGTGGGGGACGCTGAGCGGCCTCGCTCAGGAGCCTGGCTAGGAGCCAAGGTCCACCGAGGCGAGTGGGAACTTGCCCCGTTTTCTAATCCTTACTGGAGGGCTCGTGCTGGGGCCAGGGCGCCTGTGGCTGCTGCGCTGAGGCCTCCCGTGGGGGGTGAGGCGCTGCAGCCTGGCGTGGCAGGACGCCCTGCTGGCCTGACGTGCCGCCACCGCCCCGCCCACCTGTGCCGCAGATGAAGATGCCGTCCAGGAAACTGGCGCACATCCCGGTGTACGTGCTGGGCTTCGAGAGCCCTCTGCGGGCAGCGCCCGCGGCCCAGGCCAGGCTGACCCAGAAAAGAGGCGCCTTCCAGTAGGTGCCGCTGCCGTGCGGGTGCCCCCGCGGGGTCGGGCTCGGGCGCCCGGGAGGCGGGGTGTCCCCGGCGGGGTGAGCGTGCGGGGGTCTTGGCTCGCGGCGGTCCTCGGCCGGGCGCGGGGGGGGCCCTGACGCCTCTCCCGCAGGTCCCCGCAGGCGCCGCGCGTGGAGGAGGAGTTTCCGCACATGTACGCGCACGGCTCCGTCCTCAAGGACGCGTGCGCCGACTGCGCCCACTTTGTGGCCGACGTGGTGCGCTCCAGCCGCCGGAGCGTGCGTGCCCTCAACGCCTCGCCGCGCCGCGCGCGCCAGACCCAGTCGCTCTACGTCCCCCACACCTGGACACTGGACTTCCAGTGACCCGGCAGGACCTGCACGGTGGCCAGGCCTCCGAGGGGAGCCGGGCTGGTCCTGGGCCAGGGAGACCCCCCAGCGTGCATGTACATATATATATACAGATAATGTTTCTACCCTGCAGGGGCCTGTGCGTCTGTGTGCGCGACTCCCGCCCGGCTGCATCTGGGGCCCCCAGGAGGCCGTGCCTGTCACTCGCCTTGTGTCAGGCACGGTGGGGTGGGGAGGAGGGCGGATTCGCGATGGCAGACCCCGCTTTTGTTCATTCTTGCCTGCATCCTGCGGCGAGAGCCTGGCAGCGCCCCCTCTCGGCGGACACTGTGGGACAGGCCGCTCAGCCCACAGGCCAGCCGTGGCCCCAGGGCACAAGGGGAGGGGGGCAAGCGGAACCTGCCGCCTGCGCCTGCCCTGCCACCAGGGCGGCTGCCTCATGCTCAGGCCAGGGGGCTGGCAGCGGCTCTCGGCCCTGTGCATCTGCACGTGCCCACCCCCTGCCAAAGGCGGCCAGGCTTTCATCTCCACAGTGTGGGGAAGGCATCCGGCCACATGGTGGGCAAGTGCAAGGAGGGCCAGGCCCTGACGGTCCACGGTCAGGCTGTCCCCACCAGACCTGCTCCTGTCCTCTAACCCTAACTGGCCCTGTGGCCAGCAGGGCCGCATGTGGGTCAGTGGGGGCAGCCTGCTCCCCGCCGGCCTGGAAGACCCTAGCCTCATCCCCCATCTGCCTCCCTCTTCTTGGGGGGAGGCCCTCGGGGTTCACAGGGTCGGGCAGCCCCATCTGCTGTGCCCAGGCAGTGACATCACCCACGTGACTACTGGCGAGGAAACAGGCCTATAGAAGGGAAGGAATTTGGACCAGGACCACGCAGAGCTAGCCAGGGGCCCCTCCAGGACGCCCTGAGGGCACGACTCAGGGAGCACGGGCAGCTGGGCGCACCTGTTGGGTGGCCCCAGGGACCCAGGGCCAATACAGCCTGGGGCAGCAGCAGCCCTCTGCCAGTGGCCCGCGGCCGGCCAGAGCAGAGAGCCAGGCTGAGCCTTCTGGTTGCCTGCACAGCCCAGCAGCCCAGCGAAGGGGGGGGCTTGACCGGCCCTGAAGAGCACCCTGGGCCGAGTGCACCCTTCAGTAGCTGTCTTGGGGGTGCCCCAGGGCGTGAGCGCTGGAGCAGTGGAAGGGGCTTGCTGCAGCGGCACGGGGCCAGCCGGCGTCCAGTAATTTCAGATCCAACAGCTGGCACCGCTGCT